TATAAGCGTTGCAAAGCGATGGAGGGGTCCTGGTTGCGTTCCGAACGGAGATCCCGGAACCCCTTGTATATGCTGATGGTGACTACCTGATGGGGTTTTAGCCGGTATAAGTCCGGCATTACCTTTTCGTTGCCCCCGAAGCGGAAGGTATCCATGAGGATTTCCCAACGTAAAAAAAATTAAAGAAAAAAAAGGGTTTTCCCGTGTAAAAAAATGAAATAGGTAAGGTTACGTTATATTAAATTGCTCTACAGATTCGAAGCAATATTTATAATGACCAGACCATGACCATAAAAAATGAAGTTTAAACCAGTATTAATTACAAAGCCCGATTTCGCTTTTCATTATTCAAAATGCCCGGGCATTATAAATAGTGCCCTTATTAATCACTTTTAAATGCAAATTTAAAACCTTTAGTACGAATATAGGTTGATACAATTGGTGTTTACGTAGTTTATCACTTATAGAACAATCATTTAGTACAGCTATATTCCGCCATTTAGCATGCAATATTCATTACATTTTATTACTTTCATAGTTGCCGTGTAGTGGTGGTTAAGAATATCCACTACCCCATATCTTCCCGTGGGTGTCGTAAAAGGAGACAAAGGGAAACAGGCAATAGGTGGGCAGCAGCATCTTCCTGGTAACGGCAAAATACAATAAAAAACTGCGGTTGCCAACCCGCTCGCCAAGCGTGGCAACTATGGCAATGTACCCCCCATGATGAAAGTTACGAAGAGACGGCCCCCAGTCCCCGGCGGCCCCGCTGTTCCTGGCTACGGTGGCGGCCATGTTAACGGCGGGGCAGGGGGTGCTAAGAATCTCCGGTGGAGGTTCGGTAGCCACCTACAACGACTCGACCTGGCAACATACAACGCACGCACCCTGAGGGCTGACGGGAAGATTGTGGAGCTGGAAGAAGAGATAAACAAGTTACGCTGGCATATTATAGGATTATCCGAAGTCCGAAGAGAGGGGGAGGACACGGTAATCCTCGAATCCGGCAACTTGCTCTATCACCGGGAGGGCGACCATCTGTCCCAAGGAGGTGTCGGATTTATCGTCCACAAGTCTCTCGTTAACAACGTTGTAAAGATTGAGAGTGTGTCGACGAGGGTTGCGTACCTTATACTTAGAATCACCAAACGGTATTCGCTGAAGGTCATACAGGTTTATGCACCAACCTCGGCACACCCCGATCAGGAGGTGGAGAAAATGTATGAGGATATCTCTAGAGCCATGCGTTCCTCCAAAACCCAATATACGGTGTAAATGGGAGACTTCAATGCAAAACTAGGCACAAGAGAGAACGGTGAGCTGAAAGTGGGGAAATTTGGAATAGGGCAAGGACCTGGTCGAGCCCCGACGGTTCGACAAAAAATGAAATTGACTTCATTATGACGACAACTGTTCAGTGATGTCTCAGTGATCGCGAGGGTGAAAACCGGCAGCGATCACCGAATGGTTAGAGGCACATTGAACCTAAACGTTAAGTTGGAAGGTCTCGTCTAATGAAGTCAACGCTCCGTCTCCCTCGTGCTCTAATCCAAAGTCCCGAAACCTTTCAGCTTGAGTTACAAAACCGTTTTCAGTGCCTAGAAGACTGCAATGAAGTGGACGATTTGAATGACAAGCTCGTGGAAACTGTCCATGCGGTCGGAGCTAAGTTCTGCAGGACCTGCCGCAGAAGAACACAAAAACTCTCCGATCACACTCTTAATCTCATGGCTGTTAGACGGGAGATGAAGCTGCATTCTTCAACAGATTTGACAGCATACAGGCAACTGAACAGACAGATCTCCAAATGCATGCGGCGGGACTTACGCAACTTCAATACAGCTCGTATTGAAGAAGCGATCGAGCGGAACCAAGGCTCCAAAGTCTTTGCCAGAGTTCTGTCTGCCAGAAAGAGCCAACTGTCAAAGCTGAAGACCGAATGTGGCAGCATCGTTTCCGGGGCACCTGAGATTTTGAGTGAGATTGAGAGGTTCTATGGGCAGCTGTACACGTCATCGTTGGAGCCGCACGCAAGTGTGAGTAACGATCCAAGAGCGAGTCTTATCCGACATTATTCCGATGATATCCCGGACGTCAGTCTGAGCGAGATTAGAATGGCTCTCCAGCACCTTAAAAACGGCAAGGCCCCAGGCGAGAATGGAATTACAGCGGAGCTTCTGAAAGCGGGTGGAAAACCGGTATTTGAAGTCCTTCAGAAGCTCTTTAATTCCGTCCTCCATGGTGGCATTACACCGTAAGCGTGGAGCAGAAGTGCGGTGGCCTTGTTCTTCAAGAAAGGCGACAACGCTCTCTTGAAGAACTACAGACCGATTTCCCTTCTGAGCCGCGTCTACGTGCTGTTTTCGAGAGTCATTACGAATCGTCTCGAGCGCAGACTTGACGACTTCCAGCCTCCCGAACAAGCCGCTTTCCGAAAAGGCTTTAGCACCATACACCACATACATACCCTTCGGCAAATTGTACAGAAGTCTGAGGAGTACAATTTGCCACTATATCTGGTGTATGTGGACTATGAGAAAGCCTTTGATTCCGTCGAAATTTGGGCGGTGCTGCAGTCCCTTCAGCGATGCCAAGTTGACTGTCGGTATATCGAAGTGTTGAAGTGCTTGTACAGTAGGGCTACGATTGCTAACCGAGTACAGAACCAGAGTACGAAACCTATCCAATTGCAGAGAGGTGTAAGACAGGGTGACGTCATATCCCCGAAACTCTTTACCGCTGCATTGGAAGATGTTTTCAAGCTTCTGGACTGGAAAGGATACGGTATCAACATCAATGGCGAGTACATCACTCACCTTCGATTTGCCGACGATATAGTCCTTATGGCAGAATCGCTGGAGGACCTAAGCACTATGCTCAATGACCTCAAAAGTGTTTCCCAACGGATAGGTCTTAAGATGAACATGGACAAAACAAAGACCATGTTTAATGTCCATGTCACACCTATGCCGGTAATTGTTGGGAGCACTAAGCTCGAAGTTGTTGACGAGTATGTTTACCTGGGACAAATAGTCCGACTAGGTAAGTCCAACTTCGACCGAGAGGTCAATCGACGGATTCAACTCGGTTGGGCAGCTTTCGGGAAATTACGGAACATCTTCTCGTCAGGTATACCTCAAAACTTGAAAACGAGACTGTACACCCAATGCGTGTTGCCAGTGATGACATACGGAACTGAGACGTGGTCCTTCACTGCTGGCCGGATGAGGAAGCTCAAGGTCGCTCAGCGAGCTATGGAGAGGGCTATGCTCGGAGTTTCTCTGCGTGATAAACTCAGAAATGAGGATATCCGCAGTAGAACCAGAGTGACCGACATAGCCCAACGGATTAGTAAGCTGAAGTGGCAATGGGCCGGCCATATAGCTCGAAGAACCGACAACCAATGGTGAAGAAAGGTTCTCGAGTGGCAGCCTCGTACCGGCAGACGAAGTGTAGGGCGTCCCCCCACTAGATGGAGTGACGACCTGGTAAGATATGCAGGAAGTCGATGGATGCAGGTGGCTCAGGGCCGTGCTTTGTATTCTTTGGGGGAGGCCTATGTTCAGCAGTGGACTTGTGAAGGGCTGTAATGATGATGATGAATGATGACTTTTATATTAAAATACTTAAACTTTCTCCAGTTATAATTGGAGTTCACATGATACACAATCAAATATAATAGCGATAAGTTAATTAAGATAATATTATATCAATTATGTAGTCATGTAACAGTCAATTATTGAATTTCATATTTGCCTTCGAGATATTCTTTTACACTGTAGTATGCCCTATTAACAAGAAATTGCTTCAATATTATTTTAAACTCATCTATGTTGGAGCATCTCACAATGTGTAATGGAAAATGGTTATAAATTTGAGGGGACAATACAAAATATACTGTTGTTAAATTGGGCACTTTTGTTTGATTGAAAACATATTCTGTGATTATTACATTTACTGTGTAAGCACTTAAATAAAAAAATATGCGTATTAACAAAGACACCTACCTCATATATATATAATGGTTAACATGGAAGTGTTAACAGTTTCAGACTAATAAAAATGGTTTACAATTATCCGTCACTTTTAACTTCACAATGGCCCGTAAATATCTCTTTTTGGCTCTAGATATAATTTCATTGTCTACAGAGTTATCGCAAAAGATTACACCATACCTTGACACTGATTCAATATAACCGTGGTACGCAGTGAAGGCGGCAGATTGATTCACAATAGTTCCAAGTCTTTACAGTGCGTAAGAGAACTAGTTGAGTTTAGTACAAATATATTCCACTTAAGATTTCCATTTAAGTTTGAATCGAGATTGAGGCCTAAAAATGTTGCATTTTCGACTTCATTAATTTGTTGTCCGTTGTAATATTTATTAAGATTTATTAAATAGCTTTTTTATATTTATGAATGTTATTTAATTTGTTTTATTTAGATTAATTAATAAATTATTATTTAATAACCATTGAATGATAATGTCCACAGTATGATTTATGATACATATCATTTAATTTTTGCTTGTGCTTGTAAACATCACTGTGCTATCATCTAATCAAATAGTACCATATCTTGATTTATACAGGATGGCCCATAAGTCCCTTGAAATGTAAAAAAATAATTAAAAAAAAACTAATGACATTATGAAAAAGGTTTTTATTTTGTCATAATCCTTATAAAATGGGAATTATTTTTTGAAAATTACATCATCTAAATGTAATCCGTTACGATCGCGGCACTCCTGTAAGCGACGTTTAAAATTATCCATCACTGCGTGGCAAGTAAGCTCTGTAATGTTTGCCATTTCTCTTTGGATATTTTCTTTCAGGACGTCAATTGTCCGCGGGTTGGTTTCGTACACTTTAGTCTTAAGATAACCCCATAAGAAAAAGTCCATTGGGGTCAGATCTGGACTACGTGGTGGCCAAGGAATATCTCCTCTTCGAGAGATCACTTTATTAGGGAAAAGTTGACGGACGACCGGCACAGCGACGTTAGAGGTATGGGCAGTTGCTCCATCTTGTTGAAACCAGGTCCGCGTATTGAAGCCTGGAAAATTCTGCAACTCTGGTGTAAAAAAGTCCTGGATCATAGCTACATACCGTTGTGTATGTAACAGTAAGCGCGCGGCCTCTGCCGTCCTCAAAAAAGTAAGGGCCTATAATGCCATGCGCTGACATAGCCGCCCAAACTGTCACTTTAGGGCTATGTAAGGGCTTTTGATGTTTGCGATTTGGATTTTCGCAACTCCAGTAGCGATAATTTTGCTTATTGACATGGCCGTTGATGTGAAAGTGAGCCTCATCAGAGAAAAACACGTTATTAAACGAAGTAAAGCGGTTCAACATTTCATTTGCGAAATTTAGTCTGTGGATAGTGTCAGTATCTTTTAATTCCTGTACTAACTGAATCTTGTACGGGTGAAGATGTAAATCTTTCTTTAAAATTCGCTGTAACGATGTTCTGGGTAAGTTTAATGCACTGGAACGCTTACGAGTAGACTGGGTAGGATTTTCACGAATTGAGTGTTTCACTACATCGATGTTTTCTTCCGTCCGTGATGTCCTTGGTCGACCTGACCGTTGTTTATCCAACGTCGAACCACTCTCTTCGAACTTAATAATCCAGTTCTTAATCGTTTGAACACTTGGAATGTCTTTAAAGTTGCGTAAATTCTGATATTCTCGAAATTTACGCCGCGCAATGGTAGCCGAATCATTGTTTCGATAAAACTCGCGCACACAAAATGCACGGTCCGCACCGGTGAAACGCTCCATGGCGACTAAATTCCCAGAAACCGTCGGTACTGCCCCCGCACCGCGCGCGCCACTCATGCGCGCCTTTTGTATGTTATTCGAAATTTACATTTCTAACGACTTATGGGCCACCTGGTATAATTTGGTAAGTCGTTTATATAAACAAGGAATAACAATGTACCAAGAATACTTCCCTGGAATACTTATTGAATTACTTCACGATATGGCGATATGGACTATTTGTCTATAAGTTTTTGAGGATATACGCGTAATTTATTTACATTGTTGTTGATTTATTAGGTATGTTTTTAGAATATTGAGAACATTTTCTCGGACTCCGTACGCTTCTAATTTACATAAGAGGATACTGTGATTAACATAATGAAAAGCTTTTAACTATGTCCATAATATGTTAAATATAATAACGGCTGCAAAATTAATACATATGTATATTATTGTTGAACTCATAAATAGGTCAATAGGTTATTGCCTGAATTTTATATTTATACGTTAATAAATATTTATCTTTCGTACAAGTTTATACTTTGCGCCTGTGCTCGAGGCTGACAAGATTGGTTTCAACCAAATCAAGGTCACCAATGAGCCTCTTAGCACGTCTCTCCACTGAGTCTAATGCTACCAGGTGGCATTTTGTAGCACCAGCCCATATGTGACAGCATTACTCCACCGGACCGGCCTTGCGCTTTAATAAGGTAAGAAACTGCCCCGCCGTGAAGTACCGCCACACCCTTGCAAGGACACCAAGTTTCCTTGTGGCTGCTTTGACTGTGGACTAAATGAACCGCCTATAGTTTAGGTTTAGAGAAAATCCAACCCCTAACAACTGAAAGTGGTTTTACGTGGTAAAGTCACGCTGCACTATATTAGTAGTATAGTTGTAGCACGAATGGGTCGGCTCGACCGGGGAAAGACCACGCTCTCACAGAATACCAGCGTCAAATAGCAGTTTAACATTGCTGTGTTTCGTATAGTGAGTGTAGAGAACCGGAGACCCTTTTTACTTGAAAAGAGGCATTCCATCTTAGTCCTCACGGGTGACAACGCATCTGCGTTTTGATTCGCAAATAAAGATAAATGTAGATGTCTATGGGCCACAGCAACCACTTACCATCAGGTGGACTGTGTGCTCGTTTGTCACTCGATCCTATAAAAAAATTAAAGGATATTTTTCGGAAAGTAGGAGCCAAGGTAAGTGGGCTCCTTTTAGCAGTGAAAAGACACGCTTGTGTTTTGGAGGCCTTAAATCTCACGAGATTGGCATTGCCCCATTCGGAGACTGCCTGTAGTATGAGATTCATACGCTCAACCATAGCCCCTCTTTCTGACTGGATTCAAATCCAGTCAGAAAGAGGGGATCAATCCCGACTGGCCCGTGCACTTGGTTGGTATCTCTCCACAACTGTGCTGTCGTCTGCATACCCATATACACCTAGAATGAACAAATCATTTATGTGCAGCAAGAAGAGAGTTGTGGAGAGAACGGACCCCTGAGGAACACCGGCGTTAGTTACTACAGTATCAGATGAGCTTTACCACCAATGGGCACGTCAGCAAAGGAAATGAAATACTCCATTGCTTGACGTATCACATCGGTTATGGCATCCGCGCAGCTCGACGGGTCTTCAGACGAGAAGCAGACCTGCCGCCAAGGATAAGATGCAAATAAATGCCGCATCTTATCATAATCTGCTGACTTGTATCGCCACACTCGCCGCACACCGTAGAAATCGTAGTTAGGTGGGGAATATAACGACTCAGATTTTACTAGACAGTGGTCAGAAGTTTTCAAGGGTGAGGTAATCTGGTCATCGTACCTGTCTGGATCGGTCGTCAGTAGAAGGTCGAGGCAGTTAGCTGTACCCATCCACATCAGGTACCCTAGTCGCTTGTTGTATCAGCTGGGAGAGCCCCAGCAACAAAGAAAAATTCCACGTCTCTCTCTCTCCCAGCGTGGTCGGTCTTCTGGTATGGGAACAGCCAGATGACAGGCATTAAAGTTCCCCAGAGAAACCAACAGTGCATTAGGGTACAAATTTAGAGCCACATCAGAGGCTTCACTGAGGTGTTCAAACAGCCTAGTTGTCTCCTGATCACCGCTGTGCAATCGGTAGATACAAGAATAAATAACTTTAACTACAGACCGAAAGCCATCAATCATTCATTGCTTTCTCGCAACAAAGAATTAAGTCTAATCCTAAATATTTTTGGTCTTATATAAAGTCCAAGAGAAAAGTAGGCATCTCTTATCCACATCAAATGACCTTTGATCAGAATGTGTTAAATACACCATTGGATATCTGTTTCGCATTCAGCAACTTTTTGAGAGAAACTTCTATGAACCAGCGGATCAATACCCAGCTAACTCAAGAAATGAAACTCCATGATCTGACACTATACATGACATTAATGTTACTGAAGAATGTACTTATGAACTGCTTAAAAATGTTGACGTCAAAAAGGGAGCTGGTTGCGACGGTATTCCACCGGTATTCTTCGTTCAATGTGCTAAATCTCTATCGGTTCCTGTATCATTGGTCTTCAACAGGTGTTTTCGTGATGGATACTTTCCTAATATCTAGAAAAAGGCCCATATAGTGCCAATTCATAAAAAAGGATTGAGGACTTCAGTTGAAAACTACTGACCTATATCTATACTTAACGTGTTGAGCAAAGTGTTCGAGAGGGTCGTACACAAATTTATCTATCCTGTAATATCTGTCTCAATACCAATATAGTAGCATGGGTTCATGAAGGGTCGGTCCACAGCCACCAATATGGGAGTATTTTTCGATTACGTATTAAGTAACATGGACGGTGGGTCTCAGGTTGATGTGATTTACATGGATTTTGAGAAGGCGTTTGACCGTGTAGATCATATTATTCTTTTACGTAAACTTTATGAACTTGGTATCCGTGGTAACTTGCTTAGATGGATGGAATCTTATTTACGCAATCGATCTCAAGCTGTCGTTATAGGAGGATTTTGCTCAGATTTTATTGCGATACCTTCCGGTGTCCCACAAGGATCCATACTGGGACCACTTCTGTACGCTTCATATTTGTACGACGTAGGTGCTTGCTTCAAACACGCTCGATTCCTTAGGTACGCTGATAACACCAAAATATTTATGAAAATTAAAAATGATATGGATTGCACTGGCCTAAAAGCTGATTTTAACCGTCTAGAACAATATTACACTGATAATCGAATTGGAATAAATATAAATAAATGTTTTTTTTATCTCCTTTACTCGCAAGAAACATCCAATCAATTTTGAATACTATATTAGTAATCTTAAAATTGCAAAATCGGCTTGTGTTAGGGATCTCGGTGTTCACATTGATTGCAAGTTGACATTTTCTGATCATACAGAAATTATTAAAAACAAAGCGTACAGAAGCCTGGGTTTCGTATTGCGTGTAGTCCGTCTCGTAGTCGTCCCTTCTCAGACATAGGTTGCCTAAAAGTACTATATTACGCTTATGTTAGGAGCATCCTAGAATACTGTAGCATAGTTTGGAACCCTCAGTATATCATTTATACTCAAGATTTGGAGAAAATGCAAGAAAAATTCATAAAACACTTAAATTATCGGTCGCATTGCCTCTTTAAAAACTATGATGAATCCTGTCATTATCATAATCTCACGACTCTCAAAAATAGGCGTGTACTTGCTGACATGTCCTTTTTACACGGAATATGCAACGGATATATAGATAGCCCTGAACTATCAACCAAAATACTGAGTTTCTGCGCCCCGAAAGTTAGAACGAGACACACAAAATTATTTGCTGTAACACGATCAAAATCAAATTACGCACAAAACGCATTGGTCAGTCGATTGCATAGAACTTTTAATAACCAATTTAATGTTACTGACATTTTTCATGGCAGTAGACATGTGTTTAAGAGGGAAGTTCTTGAACTACTGGAAGGAAATGGTTAATATGTATATTTAACACACACACAAACACACACACACACACACACACACACACACACACACACATACACACTCTCACACACACACACACACACACACACACACACACACACACACACACACACACACAAACACCGAAGCGCGCGTACACGAACACACAGATCAGAGAGAAAGATAGACGCGCTGTTTTTAATTGTTAATTCTAAAATTGTATGTTTTTGTGGCTCAAACTTATTGTTTTCGGTCGATTAATTTAAGTTAAAAAATGTATAAAGTAGATCCGTTATTGGCTGTAAGTTTATTTCTTAAGTTCATTTACATTGTAATTAGGGCTGTGGATCTTCTAATAAATAAATAAATAAATAAATTCCTGTGCCTGTAGTATAAATAAATAAAATCCTGTAGAGAAATTGGCCTTTAGCAAAATGAAAAAAGTACTCTGCAACCGTAGACTTAAGATTTCTTTGCGCAATTGACTACTACGATGTTACATCTGGCCCATACTTTTATACGGATGTGAGGCGTGGACAGTTAAAGAGGACCTCCGAAAACGTATAGAAGCTTTTGAGATGTGGAAATACAGACGAATGTAGGGCATTAGCTGGACTGAATAACGAATGTGGAAGTTCTGCGACGAGTCGACCAAAAGCGCGAACTTATGCAGCCCGTCAAAATGAGAAAAGTCGCATATTTAGGGCACGTGCTCAGGTATTAGAGGTATGGACTCCTAAAACTCATTGTGATGGGAAAAGTTGCCAGAAAAAGAGGCGCCGGTCGCAGAAAAAAGTCATGGCTATGTAATATCCGAGAGTGAACAGGAATCGCGAGTGCCGCTGAACTGTTTTGCCTCACAAAGTATAGAGCGGAGTTCACTAAGCTGACTGCCAACCTTTGCTAGTGGGAGTGGCACCAGAAGAAGAAGAAGAAGAAGTGAAAGTGGGGTCTTCAAGTTGACACAGACGTAAACACAGACTCCGGCGCGCTGATGGAAATTATGCTCCAATTGTGTACCCAGGGTAGCCAAGGTACGCCGCATCTAAAAGACATCTGATCTGC